CTCCCTCACCGCCAGGAGACTCCGCAGAAAATCAAATTAAATTAAACACGCGCCCAGGGACCAAAGAAAATAGATCCCCCTCCCCGCTACTCTAGCAGATCAACACTTGTGTGCAGGGGGAGAGCAGCGGACCAAAAGCGACGCCCACTGACGCGCATCACCTTAAACCAAAGCGGCCCGAGCTTCGGGATAGCAAGGAATTACCGGCTTTCCTCTAATCCGGAAGCAGGGAACAAACAGGGGCACTGGCAAATACTGAATCTTATTTTTTAAACAACGGCAACAATTGTGTATCGAGCAAAGTCTTCAAAAGATGCCACACAGATAGTCTTAACTTAAAAATGAGTACCGCATTAGTCTACACCTCACTCCTTTTGCTTCTCAACACGATTTTCTTTTAAGTGCAACGATAAAATTAATCCACGGGGCTATGTTTTAAGAAAAAGCAGACAACGGTAGAAATCATATTTTTAAAAAGGAAGAGACTTGATCATACCTGAGTTTTTCATAGGGGTGTAGGAAAAAATAATGCCAGTTTGGACAGAAGCAGCAAAAAAATCAGCAGGAAACTAAAAACCCCAATTTATTCAAAATATCTGCATTAAATCAATCCCCCTTTGAAGCTATTTGTATGAAAAACTGAGCAAAATGCAGAACTTCTTTCATTATAATATTTATCTCTACCATATTAGGTGAGTGAAGGACAATTAAATCCATACTCTTTTCCTCTAAATTTTCTTCCTTGATGTACCAACCTCAACCTCCATCTGACCTTTTATCTAATCCTCTAAGATAAAATATTTATTTTAAAGAAATTCCTCTACAGGCCTGCTGTAACATTACATTCAATAATCTCACCAAAAGATCTGAGGGGGGATGAAAATGTTAATGGCAGGATTATTGATCTGCCCACTCAGGAGTCTCATCTCACCACCTGCTTGTCTTTTATTTTTAATTTCAGCATTCTCTCCCCAGGGGAAGCCCAGCTGAGAAGTTATAACAAAACTGAAGTATGAGGACAGTGGAAGGAGGGCGAATGCATCCAGGAACTTTTTCCAAGATCAGCTGATAACCAAACAGTAAGTCACTCACTGCATCTGTTTAAATTAAGCTTCTATCATAAAATATTTTTGTTGATAGTCCAACCTCAACAAATCACAGTCATGTATGTCCTTAAGCAAGAGTGGAGCCAGAGAAGGAGAAAGCAGTAGAAGGAAGAAACACTGAAGTTTGGGGAAGAAATAAGGCAGGTAAACAGAAAGGCTGGACTGAGGTTGGGCTGATACATGCTGGCCTGACCTCTGGGTCAACAACTAGTTTAACTCTACCTTGATCTGCAAGACTGGAAGCTTGTTCCTTGGTCGCCAGTGAACCCCGGCCTTTGATTTCATTTGAGAGAGCCTCTAAGGCACTGTTAGAGGTGCTTTATCACGGACGAGGCAGGGAGAAATCACAATTTTGTACTTCATCCACACGGTCCTCTGAAAAGAGGATGTCCATCTCCAAAAGGGAACCCTGCCCACCCTGCGGAACAGGAGCCTAGAAATACTGTTCAACAATTATCACAACAAAATACACCAAAGCTACAAACGGAAGGAGACGCCAAAAGAAGAAAGTGAAAGTTTGAATTTTACACTTCAGAAATATCTGTCCCCCTTCAACTGCCCCACAGAAATCTTCTCCTAGACAATATGTCACCATCCACCTCTTAAAATGAATGCGACCTGTATGTAATGCAACTGATATTATACACGCACCAAGCAGCTCTCCTTACCTGGCACTACATTTAACTCCTTCAGAACCGGTTCCTCCTCAGCACTGCAACTTTCAATAAAAAAGAAACAACACTTAAACTGTGTTCTGCGTGTTATTCCTAGGAAAGAGTGACAGAAAGAGAGACTTTTACTTTTTCAAACCATTATTTGGAGCTACAGTATACCAAAGACTCAGAACTAACTTGCTTCCCTCAAACCCTAGGGACTAGAGGTCTCGAGTATCTGCAGAGACGGCAGGACTCAGGCACTCAGCTACTGAAGCATACACTACCTTATCCTGAAACACTTTAATCACTAATCGATTGTTTCTTCTAAATTTACAGTATTCATAGCACTCTATAGTCTCACTTGTTTTTACAGGTAATAATGACTTTATATACATTTCAATAGAAGGTTTTCAGTTTGAGATACACACCCAGACTGAACTTGGGGCGGAGAGAAGGCAAACCGAAAGAAGTAAGCTAAACTTAAAATAATCTGAACACTAACTTTTTATTCAATTTGATTCAAAATATTAATCTAATAGTGAAATAGTTTGATATAACAACAATCAACATTTAAAGTGGTTTTTTTTTTTACCTTCAAAAGTATGGCTCAAGGAACTCATTGCTTAAATGCACTTAGACATAACAAGACAATATTTTTTATTGGCATCATTGACACCTATGAACAAAAGCCTAGTAAATAGATTAAGGTTTAACCTTCCTTTTCTTTGGTGGCTGTTTAGAGACTTTAAAAGAACAGATAACTCATTTCAACAGGCATCTACTACTGATATTTACCTCTACATAATCTTTAGCTAAGACATGGAATGCCAAAAACAAGCCTTTGTTAGCTTGACCTCCTCCACCCCCTAACAACAAAAGTTATCCCCGAACTCATGTTTTTATTTTAGATGTATTGATCTTCCAGTGTAAGTCTTGCCCTCTTAAATACCAAATGCAATCAACCGGACTCCTCCTGGAGAATGAGAAGGAAGCAACACAGGAAATTTCTTTGAATTGTTTGGTGACTTAGTCCAGATTTTAAGAGGTCAGTAAGTCCTGATGCTTTGAGCTAAATCTACTGGTAAGTAATTAATTATATTTCTTAGACACTAATCTTTTTCTTTGTAAATGGAGAAAACAGTTTTGCCAAATAGATCATTCTACCTCATATTAAAGGCAATTATTTAAATATTATCAGAAAACAGAATTATATTTTGTTTAAATTAGATATTTAACTGAAAAAATGCAAATGTCTACAGTTTAAAAAGGAAAACAAAAACAAATTAACTGGCCTAGTCTTTTATCTGTGTTTATTAATACCATTTAAAATATTACAAATAAATCAATTACATTTCATGCATTTAAAATGCAAGTCTAAAATGTTCCAGAGAAAGGCTTTTCATTTCAATGTGAAATATCCAAATTATTTCAACATTACAATGAGCAATTAGTTTGCAGAATTTGCAAACATTTAAATGTACTATCAGGAGTGTTGATTAACAGCTAACAATATTACCTTCAGGAAATACACAAAGGCCAAAGTTAGTTGAGTTTCAATTGGACAATTTATTGAATACATGGGTTTTGACAAACCCAGTTATGAAATATAGGATAACTCTCACTTTAACTATGCCTGAACTGCCAGCAAATGCAAATAAGTACATGCTCCATTAAATTAAATGTCATCCCACATTTATCAAATATTGTCTTAGTTACAGTTTGATACCTATCTAAATTAATATTCGAGCAAAACTAGGCCCCGAAAGTGCGTCTGTGGCTCTGCACCTCCAGAAGTGAGTTCAAAAAACCTGCAGCTCCTCAGAACTGCAACAATAACTCTTAATATTTTCTGGTAACCAAAAAAAAAAATCAAGTTTACTTCAATATATTTTCAAATATTTACTGGGAGTAATGTACAAGAAAAATACTATACAAAATCGTCTCCTGGACAACTGCACCTCGCATCCATACACTGGTGGAGTTATAGTTAATTGGTAACTAATCTAGAACGATTCTCCAGTTGTACAAACCATTAGGTTCAGATATATTTTACAAAGTTTCCCGCCCCCCATGTTCCCTCTTTTGGCATTTAAACTACAGCCTCGTCTGGAATAAACGATAGCTTCCTCACTTGTTTGTTAGTTTAAATCACACACAAAAAAAAGTTTCACCCTAAGAATAGTCAATGAACTGCAAGAATTTACAGAAATGAGTACTATACAAATTGATGTCTGGACTAGCATGAAAAAAAAGGAGACTGGGCTCGGGAGTGGTGAAAAAACGAGGTAGAAAAAGGACAAACACGGAGATAGTGAATCTGTTCTCACCGGAAAGGGGTATTTTGCATAAGAAAGACACCTACACTTACCCACCCCCACCCCATAAGCTAATGCGATCAAAATAACTTTGGGATCAATATTAGCACAGTTTGAAGAGAAAGACTTGCTCACTGCTAGAGGAAAAACTAGCTAGAAACCGAGTGGAAGGATGCCTTTTTTTTTTTCCCTGTAGGTTTTTAGTTTTTAAAAAAATGTTATAAAGTTGAAAGAAGGCTACTGTAGCGATTCACTAAGACTGCCCTTAGCTGAAACTTGCATCGGTTCCACCTCAGGGAACAAAGAAAAAGAGACTGAGCTGAAGCTGGGAGAGCGAAACTCTGCAAACTCCGGATCTCTGAGCACAGATGCCGGGCACAAGCACCAAGCTCCGACGGCTGGGCGCAGGCCGGGCACGAGCCCCGCGGTTCTGGAACCACGTACGCAGCTGTCCCCGGCAGAACACCCTGCGCAGGCCGCCCGCCCCGCTCTCCCCACAGCGGTGCTCAACCTTGCTCAGCTGAATTGCTCCCGCCCGAGTGCAGGCCAATCTCCCAGGCTCTGGAATCATGCAGCTCTACCTCCAGGGCTGCTTCCCTCTAAAATAGGCCTGTCATACCCTGGGATGGCGGACAGAGGACGAGGGGAGGCGAGAATTAAAGGCCCAGAAGGGCGTGTGTTCGGGTTGTGTCGGACGGCGTCACGGGGTGGAGGGGAAAGCCAGGGCCCGGAATTGCAATGCGTGTTACTTACATGTTCATATCCCCTTTACAAACTTAAGTCACACAAGGAGTTAGAAGAGAGACAGAGACACAGAGAGAGCAGTATGCAGTGTAGAGGCCGGAGCTGAGACCAGGACAGGCGGGGACCAAACGGAGCGGGGTGGGAGGAGGTCAAGGGGAGGGACAGGCGAGGGGTGCAAGTCACTCCAGGCCATTGCGGTGCCCGGGCTCAGGGGGCTGCAGCAGCTCCGGGGAGTGGCAGGGCGGGCTGCCCGCAGCGCTGTGCTCGCTGTCGGTGTCGCTGCCCTTCTTGCCACCACTGCCTGAGCCAGCCGAGCCTCCTCCGCCGCCGCTGTGCGTCTTCACGTGCTTGCTGAGGTGGTCGCTGCGCATGAAACGCTTGTTGCAGACCGGACAGGCGAAGCGCTTCTCACCGGTGTGGGTCCGCAGGTGCCGCTGCAACTCGTCGGATCGCGTGAAACGCTTGCCGCAGAAGAGCCAGTTGCACACGAAGGGCCGCTCACCCGTGTGCCAGCGCAGGTGCGCCTTGAGGTGCGACGTCTTGCCGTACACCTTACCGCAGCCCGGGATGTGGCAGCTGTGCAGGCCCTTGCGCCGCAGACTCGCCCCCGCCGGGCCCAGCCGCTCCGCCTCCTGGCAGTTGGGGCAGTCGCAGGTGGCGCGGCCCGAGTAGCGGCGCGCGGAAGAGCGCGGGGAGCCCCCCAGCGGCGCCGACGGCCCCGCGCTCAGCATGGAGCCCCCGGCGCCGGCCAGCGGCGACGGGGCCGAGTCCGGATAGGAGCCGGGCAGCACCGGCTTGAAGCCGTCCATGAGGTGCTGCCCAGCGGGGCTGAGCAGGTGCGAGGAGGCGCCGCTGCTGAAGGCTGAGTGGCTCAGGCCCGAGTAATCCGAGTTGTAGCCTCCGAGCGGCGAATGCAGCGAGGTTTGGAGCCCCCCGGCGGCGGGGTGCAGCGAGCCGGGCAACGCCGCGGCGCCGTTCGGGTTCTGCACGTCGATCCAGCCCGCGCCCACGTCCCACCAGCTGGAAGCGCCGGCCGACCCCACGTCGCCAGCGGCGCCCAGGCCGGGATGCGAGGGCTTGAACCACGACTCGTACGGGTGCGCCATGCCCACGCGCGGGTAGATGCCCTGCAGCCCGTCCACTGAGGTGTGCACCTTGGAGATGAACACCGGCTGGTGCGAGCCGTCCTGCGAGTGCGCGGAGGACCCACCGCCGCCGCCCCCGCCTCCACCGCCGCTGCCCCCGGAGACGCCGGGGGTCTGGAACACGGAGTAGTCGTTGGCGAAGGGCGAGGTGGAAGCGGCGGCCGCCGCGGCCGCTGCGGCGGCGGCGCTGCTGGAGGTGAGGGAGAAGGCGCTGGAGCCCGGGGAGCCGCCGCAGCCGAACGAGTCGGACACCAGGGCGGCCGCCGCCGCCGCCGCCGCCGCGGCCGCCGCGGCCGCAGAGGACGAGCCGCCGGTCCTGGAGGCCCCCGTCACACCGAAGCCAGAGAGGCTGGAACCCACTACATTGCAACTGCCGGAGGAGGACGACGAGGATCGTTTCCAGGGATGGAAGCCTTTGCCGAAGGAAGAGGAGCTGTCCGAGAGGGAGGAGGGAGACGGGCTGGGGCTGCCGATCTTGTTACAGGTAGCAGCGAGCATGGCCAGAGGAGTGGATCCCAACCTCGGTTCTTCCTGCGGGAAGGGGGAGAGGAGAAGGGGTGGGGGAGGGGCGGTGGGCAAAGGGCCGGTGGGGGAGGGAGGAAAGAAAGCTGCATCAGATCTCTGGTAGCCCTCAAAACGCCCCGTTGGCACCCCATCTCTCGCTGCGGCGTGCGCCGCCAACTCACCTGGCTCCCCCAACAGCCCCGGCGCCCGGCTGCTTCCTACTCTACGTGAGGGGACAAGTTTGGCTGCTGGCGTCTGATTCGGGAGCAAAGCGCCATGCTAAAGAAGAGTTTGACAAATATTCTCACCTAAAACAACACTCTCGTGCACACAAGGCCCCAGGCACTTAGAAACAAACAAGCAAGCAAAAAGTCCAGATTAGGGAGAAAGGAAGTTTCCTTTGCCGAGAAGCCTCGGGGAATACCACTGGATTGCTCCTAAAAACGCGTCCTGTGTAATCCAGAAAGAGCTTCGAAAATTCTGTTCCGATCCCCAGAAACCTGTCCCGGGATGTGTCTCCCAGGCCAAAAGAGGTCAAACTATAAGGCTGGCTCACTCGCTCTTCTTGCCTTTCTTTCACTTTACTTTAAAAAAAAAAAGTCTACAATAGTTTTTAAAAAAAATGAGACGGGTTCAACGTACCTGCAAGACCAGGCGGGCTGCGGAATTTTTTAAGGGGAAGAGGGAAAATCTGCAGTTTGCCCAGGAGGAAAAACTTGCTCTCCTTACCCCGAAATCGTCGCCTGCGAAATGGGCAGGGCGCGCGTCTCCCGGGCAGGGAGCGGCCGGGCGCTGCGCGGTGGCTGGTCTAACTGCCCTCCGAACCTTTTCCTGCGCTGAAAAAAAGTGACTCTGCCTCCCCTCTCCCCCTCTTTCTTTTCTCCAAACTCACTTGTATTTAAAGGGGAAAAAAAAAAAAGCTCTCAATAGAGACTGATAGCCCGTGGCCTGGCCGGGGCGACTTTAACCCCCTCCGATCGGCAATAAAAGGAAACTAATTAAACCAGCAAGAGAAAATCCTGAGACTCACCCCTAGAAGTGAAGTTGCCATCACACAAAAGTGCCCTCCTCCTCTCAGAGGATCTTTTTTATATTGATAAATCAGAGGCAGTGTTTTTTTTAGAGGTGTGCAATACAATGATCAGTTCCGCCCATTCCACCACAATTGTAGCTCCCTCTCCGGCTTTGAAGTGCCGCGGAGGCGCCGCCAGCCAATCTGCGGCCTCGCCGGGCCGCGCCGCGCGCGCCGTGAGGTCATCGGCGCAGCCGCTGGCCGCGCTGGGGGGGCCGGGGGTGCGCGGCGGGCCGGCGGGCGGGGCGCGCGGGGCGCGGAGCGGGTGTCTGGCGGGGAGACCGTGTAGCTGCGCGCGTGTGTCCGAGCTGGGAGACAGTGCAGCCCGGGGAGTGGGGTAGGGACGGAGTGTGACGGCGTGACAGTGACTGTGGGGAAGAGCAGAGGGGAGGGGAGGGGCAGTGCAGAGAAGGGGGGTGACAGCGGGGCTGCGGGTGACAAAGGCGGGTAGGGGGGCAGACCAGGAAAGTGTTGGGGGGAAAGGTGTGAGTGAGTGTACTACAGTGCGACCGCGAGTGACGAGCCCCGGGAGGGGCGAGGAGGAGTGTGGGTCTGTCTGTGCGCGTGGAGCAGGGGGCAGGGTGCGTGCGTGCGCGCGCTCCAGGCGGGGTGCGGGGAGGCGGTGTGCGTGTGTGTGGGAGAGGGCGACGGGCGTGAGCGCGGGGCGTGTGTGTGCGCGTGAGTGTGAGACAAAGCTGCGGTGGGGAAAGGAGCAGCGCGGTGAAGTGCGCGACGGGAGGCAGCGGGGAGACCGGCGGTTTGCAGAAGGAGCTGCGAGGCGGGGGGAGGCTGAGTCAGTAAACACGCGCAAACACCATCCCTGTCGCCAGCTCCCTGGTTCCTTGGACCTAAAATCTTCAGTGATCTTCTTTTTAACTTCTTGGACATTGTTACTACATTTTTAAAGGAAAACCGTACTAATACCTACCTTGCCTTTTCCAACTCCACAGAGGCAGGGTAGAAAGGTGGGGAGGCTGAGGGTATTTTTAGGGGTGATTAGGGCGTGTGTGCGCCTTCCTTCACCAGTCGTTACTTTGCTGCGGTGGCTTTCTTTTCCTTTCTTTTTTTTTTTTTTTTTTCCCCTTCCTCCTGAGGAGGGATTCGTCTTTGGAAGTGCCAGTCTCAGTCTACGGGAAGGGGTGTGTTTGTCCCGTGGCGATGAGTAAATTTCAATACAAAAGGATTAGATAGAGAAGGGGACGAGAGAGGATTGTATTCTCTTTGGGTGAAAAATTGAGGAGCGTTTTGTGGAATTTAGAAGTTTTCACGGGAAATCCCCACTGCCTCTTTCTGAGAGAAAAATTAGAATGTTAATGGATATGTGTGGGGTTTATTTATCTGAGAATAGAGACAAGGTTTTGACAAATTTTGGAGCACATGTATGGAGGCGTCTGCATCTGACAGTGTTTGGGTCAGATATCTGTGAATGTGTGTGCATGTTAATAGGTACACTCAGTTCAGATTCACTGGGTTTTAGTCACTGGCTTGCCATTCATGTTACTAGTTGCCTTCAGAAATGTTATTACAATTTCACTGCCACCACAAGGGAACATCATAAACCACAGAGAGCACCACACCAGTGTAGCAGAAAGTCCACAGCCCTTGCAGCCCTACTGAATATTCATGTTTTTAAAAAAAGTAATTCATATTTTAAGCAGCTACGAATGCTCCCAGAAATCTATTTTTTAAGGCTGGATTGAATAAAATGTTTTTAGCTGGGAGACTTGTTTTCTTTTGACTGCGTAAAAAAATTTTTAATCATTTTGGAACACTCCCCAAGTGTAACACAGCTTCCAGAGATGTAGTACAAAACAAACAAACAAAAAAGGTCCTCCTGGGGCTTACTGAAATCCAGTCAGGCAGCATCATTTGTGTAAGTTTCCCTGAGGAGGCTGATGTGGTGTGAGGGTGTGTGTTTCCAACCCCTTCCTAACATTGTTGGGATATTGACTGTACATCATATCTATTGATTAAGGGAGCAAGGTACACTCTTATACTTTGAAGTAAGTGTGAAGTAAATTAATGAACTGCTTGCTTTCTGTGAAGGCTGACGTTCACCATAAATGTCGTGTTTCTCCCTGCAAGCCACTCTGAATGATTTTAGCATGTTGAGAAGGCGTGACAGGCCAGCCCAGAAGGAGGAAGGGGTGGGGGAAGGAGGGAACTCCGTTTAACAAATAAAAGAGAATTAACTTCATTGCTTTGGTCTCCTTCTATAATGATATTCATTTTAAGGACCTAATATACAGTTGTTCAAGTTTGGGGTTTAATTCTAATCAATACCGGCACCCTTCAAGGAGGGTGAAAAAAAATACTTTGAGAGAAGACTCCCTTCTGTGAATGTTTAATCTTTTTATCTTCTTATCTTTTGGAAGAAAGTGAGGCAGGACTATTAAAAGTTAAATCCTAATTCTGAGAGTAAAGAGCCCTTCACCACCATTTCTTTAAAATATGCCAGGAATTAGAAAAACTCAGCATCATATGATGACTATTTTGAGGTACCTAATTTTAAGATTTTTTTCATTTGTCTAAATTCACTTTAGAATCATATGAATTCTTCCCAGGACAATGGGTCACAATTCGTGTGTGGATTTAATGACTACTTTGTATCCTTCCATTTATGTAAGGTTGGCTTGCAGCATTTGAGGATTTGCACAGGAGTTTGTATGTGGATCTTCACTAGAATAATACATAAATGTATATGCATTCCAGTTACTCCCATTTAAAAAGTTGGGTATTTATTTCATAATGCTAATATTGGTCAAAGTGCATTTTTTTTCTTATACTACTCTCCCTTCACCCCTATCCCCCAATAAGTGGTTAGTATTTGTCCTAATCCATAAGACAGCAGAGTTAAAAAGGAAAGACAAAGAAACTTATATGATTGACCAAACATTAAAACAGCAATAATGTTGCTTCAGGTTTCAGTGTAACTAGTCTTAATGGCACCTTTCTCCACTTTTGAGAAGTGACTCCATCATTTTTTAATCCCCCACTCGAGGGAACATCTGTAATTCACTGTAGACACAGCCTGACTAGCAAAGCATTGCACATTGCATAGAGTTCAGTTTGTCTTTTGTGATATTGATCATTTGATCATTATTACCTAAGTATTATATGGTGGTAACAGAGGTTTGGAAGGGGAAGGGGAAGAGAGATAGGAAGTACTGGCTTTCTAACAATTAAAAGTCTTCCCCACTCCAAATGAAGTTTAATGTTCTGGCAAGGAGGGGGTAGATGGATATTTTGCTGTTCCTTGCAAACCTGTGGGATCCACTTTCAATAAAGCTAAAATCTATTAGCATTCAGTATGCATCTGCAGCATAAATTTCATTTGAATTTCAAATTTAATAAACCAGGAGGTTTTTAATCATCCCTGGTTTTATTTGTTTGATATTAACATGCTTATTGACCGGGTCTGGTGACCAGTTTGATCATTACAGGACAGCAAAAAGTTAATTAAAACGACCACAGCCCCTTAATCATATCATCTGTCTCATCCATGTCGCTCTCTTTATTACCGGTGATGATGGATAGTCTCCCAGATTAATTTCTCTGTTTCTTCGATTTGGACAACAGCTTTTGGGACCTAATTTACATCCTGGGACAACTTGCTCAAGTATATCTAACACCTTGCATCTACAATCTACATCAACATCTCCTTAGAGCAGAAAAGGAGAGGTGTGTTTTTTTTTTCCACCACCCCCCCACCCCCGCCTCAGGCGGGTTCGAAGACTAATCAATGCTGTGATTTGGAGCTCTTGCGCCTTCAGCTCTATGGACTAAAGAAATAGAAGGTCCTAAAAGCAAATTAGAGGCCTCGATCCCTGCTTTTCCTTTTCAGGGAGTGGGGAGTGAAACATGCCTCTACTGTTTGGTCAAATAGATTAAAATGCGTAGATACAGCGACAAGTAAATAAAGCCATTTGTAACCATTAAGTACAATTAGGGATTTATAGTCGAAAACATCAAAGTTATCCAGGCTTTCAAGCGGCCGTCGTCACATCTACACCAAATACGGTTTTCAGCCTAAGTGTGGCCCGATGTATACACAGCACTGAAAAAGCCGAAAGGGGAAAGGGGGTGGGGGCGATGCACGTGAACTACACAGGCGCGCACCTCAGCTGGGTACGGGGTGAACGGGGCTCGCGGGCTCTCCGTTTCCCGAGCGTCGGCAGGGCCTCCTTCGCCTCCGAAGCAGGCGGGCGGGTGTCCGCTGCGGACCCCGTGGACGCGGTGCTGCCACGCATCCCTGGCGGGCGAAAAGGAGAGACGGCCTCCGATCCCCGGCCACTGGGCCGGGGCCTCGCGCGCGCGGATGCCTTGGCTCCGAAAATCAAGCGTGATGGGGGTAGAGAAGCAGCCGGGCGCCGCCCGCGGCCGCGGGGAGGGAGGAGAGGGCTGGGCCAGGTGGGGGTGTCTCCCGGTTCGGTCCGAAGTTCTCTGGTCCAAGTTTTTTTCCCGCTGAAAAGAAACCCTGGCCAGCCGTGCACCTGTGGATTCCGGAGGGGGTGCCCTTTTGCTGGCCACTCCTGCTTTCGGGCGGCTTTTCTAGGAAGTTGCCTAACATTTCCTGGGAAGGGAGGTAATAAAAGCCCCTCGCTGGTGGCAGATTGTGGAGCCGTAGGTGGGAAGGGATCAGTCGGCCAGAACCCGCAGAGGGCTGCATTTTCCTGATTGGAAAATAAGAACTTCCATGCTGAACAATGGCCCCTATTAGTGAGGTTATTCGGTTTCAAACTGTCCGGCCACTTTTACAGCCGCGTCCTTACTTTCCTGGCCCTGCTTAATTGGATGCGTTTGTTGACCACAGCGAAGCCATAGTGACTCGCTCTGCTCGCACAGGCTCTCCCGGTGGAGGCGAAGCTCGGCCTCGTTGGCTCTTTGAATACATGGGACCCCTTGGAAAAGCATTTCATAGTTTTGTTTTGTTTTTTCTTAATCGACCCTATATTTTCCTTCCGTGTCCTACTGCTTAA